CTAAACGTGTGTGACTGGAAAGACTTGTGTTCCATGTAAAGTAGATCAGATAGGCAGTGGTGGCTGAGCCCTTTAACTGTGGCAAGATTCCTGGACTGTTGATATTGATGGAAGCACCTTCATTGACATATTTAAAAATCGATCATTCGAGCCTCTCCCTCAGTGCTTGGGCTATGAGCGATCATTCACTTGCTGGGGTTGAGGGAATGACTCCCAGTCATCGTCACTAAACATATTTAAACACTTTATTTGCCACCTATCTGGTGAATGTATTTTCGTTCTGACTGGATCCGGAATATTAGTTTATTTTGAGGATGTTCCATCGCCAGCAGGGATGCATTTTGTGAGGATCAGGTTTTCTAAGTAACCTGCTATTGTGGCTGTGGAAGAGTCGTCACTTTCTAGGGTAAGCTCACGGCCAATTTTATTTATAGTGGGCTACCTGTTTGCGATGGTTTGCCTTAATAATTTCCAGAATAGTAATAATACGCATGGTAATAATTATCCTCACAATGTTCTGTGAAATCACAGCTTTCTCTCGATAATTTTTTCCGCTTCGGATGACAGTATGCTTCTAGTGCTGTTCATATTTTACCGGATGGGGAAACCAGGAAGTCCTGATATGAGTATAATGCATCTTCCTTCTGAGCATACTTGGTCCCTAAACAGTTTCTGCGATTTTATAGTCCTAGAGCCATTAGGTGGCTTCTCCACAAATTTCAAATGAAACCTTTATGTTCACCTTAAGCTCAATGGCATGCCTGTCGACCGGTTGAGACTGTAATATCCCCACCAGTTTACTCAGATTGGTGCTCATACCTCTTTCTCTGAAATTTCACACAGATTTACGCGTGGCCCCTTTTGCAAACAGTGTTCAGTGAGGTCTTTACTGAGGAGGAATGGCTCTGTTTGTGGGATACGTTAATCAGCTATCCGCCCTCCTTCCTCATAACCGTCACTGCAGCCTTTATACTTACAGCCCGTGGACCAGTTTTGCGACTGCGTTCCATTAGCGAATTCGAGGTACGTCTTCTACCCTACAAACAATGTTCAAAATAACATTTTTACTTAATTTAGTCAGTAATTTAGTTTTACTCCTCTTTCGCTTAGCTTTTCTTCCGCAGCCAGTGCTCGCTGCCTGTCGCAACGGTGCTTGCACGTGCACAACAGGTCTCAGCCTCTACGTTACCAGAACTCAAA